TTTTGGTCAAATTTAGCAAACCCTATTGTTAGCATCCAAACTGTCAAATACGGGCTGCCAATAGACTTCGCCTTAATCGTACAAAATTCTTTCCAGTTGTAATTGTTAAAAAACATAAATTTCAGATACGTGATGTAGGTTTTTCATGGTGCCAAATACAGGACAGTGATCAGTAATGTCGTTTTCAATAACCCCACACTCAAGAAAGGAATCGAAGATATTATATAACATTGGTGATCAATGGTAGTATATGATGTGTCTATTATTCTGGCGTGAATGTTAAATAATTGAAGTTTCATGGACTCAGAAGTAGAATACATGATTTGCCCTTGGCTGGTCAAGACATTCCTCCGAAGTAATTAAGAATTTCATGTACGTTTGCGGTATTTAACACCTATGACTAACCTTTAGTTATTAACGGTGGTTTCCACAAGAATCGATTCACAGTGCATTGTATCTATGATTTCGAAAGACAGGAAGCTGTGTGTATATAATGCAACATCTTCTCCCTGTGAGTGTTGCTGATCGCTTGTAACTAGATTGTAGAGAGAAGAATTAGAAAAAGAATGCGACCATATTTCAAGACCACGTTTCTCAAAAATAAAACGTTTTGTTTTTGTAATATTTAAAATGAATATTAATTTATCGTAGTGTTTACCAAGAGATCGAATGTTAATGCATAAGAGAACACGGATAAAACGTTTGTTTTCTGAATGAACATTTCAACTTCATAAGACTTGCAGCTATGATGGATATAGCCAGTATTACTATTTATATGTGTATCAATTAAAGATGATGGTACAAAGCAATGAAAATATGAACACTAGTTACATTATGCAGAAATCTCCAATGCTGTTTTTGACAACTAATTTCCCAATCACCGACCATGTCAACTTCCACTCCTTGGATTTAAGTTATTTGTTTGCCATGTGGAATAGTTCCTTGTTTTCTTTTGTAATATTTTCAGTGAAGTGAGATTGGTACTGCAAGTTTCCTTTAGAATTTTTCTAGCATCGTACATTTAATTGCTTGTGCTCAGGGAAGTCAATAGGTGTGAGTCGCAGTGTGTGGCGACCTCCGCTACCTTGACTTCAATGTTATCAGTGTTCTCGACACTACGCATTTGAAAGATCTGAGTGTTCAGCTCAAAACAAATCACAAACATGTGTTTTGAGTTCTGACAGCTTGCTTGTAGAAATTGTACCCAAATTTAAATCCCATAGCTTCAATCTACGGGATTTGCTACAGTCATCGCAACGTATTTTGCATTTCTATTAGGTAGGAGACACAGGGCTATGCCAAGAACTACGGAGTCATTCTCTAATAAAACGAAATATTCAGAAGTATTTTTGTCAACTTAATATACGCCCTTCGATCAGTACCGAATAAGCGTGTTATGTTAATTGAAAGCCATCACTTGGAATTAAATATATTCGAGCAATCGTTTAAATGTATTATAGCGTCACATACTCAAATCTCTCAATGTCAGTAGTAGATGCTTATACTACCTCACCATGAACGCGTTATTGCAAGCTACGCTAGGGGTGTGGCCTCTCCTTTCAGCCACGAGTATGTTTCAGAAATGATGTGGATAAATAAATGTTATTATTCCCCGACGATTCATGTCTTTTAAAAAATATATTCCATTTTAACGAGATCAATTATGCAGTCATCGGCAATTCCATGTTGACATCGATAACTATCTTTTGTGAAACGTATCATGATTGATGGTTATTGACACTTATTCATTGTGTCGCGCTTCAATGTCAACACTCGTAAGCATTATAATCGAATATAATAATTTTCTAAAAACGCATTGTCTACCGCTTGGTAGATCAATACAACGATTACCATAGAAACCATCTATAGGAACGCGACCTCGTGTGAAGCAATTATTCTGATGGCATTCCACTGCGGTGCAATAAAACATACAACGTTTCCGACCGAGATTCGAAAGTAAACAGATACAGTCAGATATAAAATAATAATGCAATAAGTTATTCACATCAGCTTGTTTTGACACTTTAGACAGTACAGTAATAAAATAGTTGTCCACGTTACGTCATTGTCCTGTAATTGATGACTTGTGGTGCAGCATTGTCCTGCGTGTGTAAACACACACCACAGTCGCCGCGATGCGTTCTCATTGTTCGTATGGGTCCCATACAATGTAGTTCCTGCAACAGTGCGATTGAAATACGATTGCTCTGAGAAAATGTGATACATTTTATCGAGACAATATCATTCTCATCATTTTTTTCTCAAAACACGCATGACAATATGAGTCTTAAACACGTGTCAGTTCATATTGATCTTATTCCATATTTCGTCCAAACAGATGCCAGTAATGATGACGATCAGAATGAAAGTGGTGATGTAGAATACTTAGCAAAGCATTTATTAGAGAAAATTCAAGAGAATAAAGCAGAAGGTGAGAACACGCAACATTATATTCACCACGTGCGGCGCTAGAACGTTGTCTTGTAATATTATTAAGATCAATTGTGTTGGTATGCAATATGAAGTATATAAATTGCATTTTCAAAAAAAATCGTTTAATATCATTATGTTATTTTGGCTATTTGGCGCAGTTTATATATGTGGCAGAATATTGTTACTATTTAACTGAATTGACAAAGTATGTGCGACATATACCAATGAATTGATATAATATTTTATGTAAACAAATCTTTTTGTATGTCTGTCCTCCCGCCTGGGTGCGATTGGTCGCGCACCTCACGTGTATCTTAACAGTCAACTCTTGGAGTTTGTGAATGAGTATTGCTATTTGGGTTATCATTTACTCAAACCGGTTAAAGATAATACGAGTACTAGTAAACAGTTACGCGGAATTTATGCTAGGACACATTTTAGTAAGTCGCTTTGGTAACCGTTCTCCTGAAGTTAAGTGTCTACTATTACTTAGCTATAGCTCGAATTTGTATTATCTATGGTCAGATTTTACTAGAAAAATTTTCATCGAATTCGAGCAGCCGATAATAATGCATTCCGAATGTTATGTAACGTATCCCGCAATCTAGTATTAGTATTAGTCAAGTTAAGAAAGATGAGTTTTAGCTTTACTCATAGTATCCTGCAGAGTAATAATTCGGCCTTTAAGAATGTGTTAGGAAGTAATGTAGTATATTTCAAATTATCTATGAAGAGTATGTGGCGTTGAACGGTTTTATGTTCTTAAGTTATTGTAAGTTGGTTTGTTTTTATATTGGCTTGTCCTGAAATAAAGTTAATAATAATGATGACTTTATCCACAGACGACAAAAGAGGAAAAGTAAATAGAAGATATAAAGCCCTGCCCGATTCCGCTTTTGGGTAAGGATCTTTTCAATATAACGATGATGATGAATAAGGTGTTGTATTCACCATTCTGCCGAGTATTTAAGTTAACGTATTTGTCAAAAAATGCTTTATAAAATTGTTGAACGAATTCCAGAATTAGGGAAAAACATATGGAATGAATTTTGTTTTTGAACGGATTTGAAAATGTATTGCGATACTATATTATCGTTTAGATAAAATGGTTTGAAACTGTGTGACATTCGCTTTGCGCCTGTGTTAGCTATTTCCTGTCAAATACCATGTCACAGGAAAAGTTGACACGATGACGGAAAAGAACAGAACATTATTTGACGGGCAACAACTTTACGTTGCTCTGGCTGTCTGTGGCCATTTGAGTCTAATGAATGTTGCTTTTTTGTTAATCCGAACTTTCAGCAAATCGTGTTTTCATATTCATTCGATATTCCTGGTCATACAGTGTAGCGACGAGTAAGATAGGAGTCAGACAATACAATTTCAGGGAAAAGAAGTTCAATGGAGATCACTACAATGTGTCGGCAGTCTAGTCCAGAAGTGGGAGACAAAAAAAATAATTACATACTTTTTTTTTTTTTCAGGGTTCGTGCTTGGAATGAAGCGCGACCTCTACCGGACAGTGATTTTATGGTTATATAGCTGAGTAAAATGTGAATGATTAAAATTGAGCTTGATGTGGAATTGAATTAAATAACTTATGATAGTTCTAATTATAAATATATAACGTAAATGATTCCAGTGAAATGAAATCCCAATTAATTTTTTCATGCAGTTTATTCTGTGGAACCGGCATTTAAGAGAGAAATACACTAATGAAATAGTTCCTATATTATACAAATGACAACTAGATGATTACTAAATATGCTTCGCTGAATTTCATAAAACTATACATTTTTCATCATATAAAATGATACCACTCATATAAATATTTTAAAATTAAATTAATAAACAAATATTATAACATATGCCCGATTTGGATACATTACGTGGAACATAGATCAAATTGCTGGAAGGTACCACTTTCACCTATTTAGTTAAACATACCTAAACTAGACTCAACTCAATAACTGTTTAAAAGTTACAGCTGCGAAATCTATGAATAAATAAACTGCATGCTAAGTAGAAACAGTCGGTAACACTGTTTTGTTTTAGAAGCATATTCATAATAATAAACGCTACAATGATTTAAGCTTAATGTATGTCCACTTCGAGGTGGCGCTCACACTGCACTAAGTACTTTCACATTATTCACAAAACATGTAATCATATCTGTAAATAAAGCTATGTTTTAAAGAATAAGATAATTGGTGTGCGGCTCGTTCATTCATGTATTAAACGGAACGGACTGAATAGCAATGTAGGATTATTATCGAATAGAAACTTGGAATCTAGTAGATGTTGAATACGTTTATGATAAGCTTTATTTAAAAGAATAATACTTTGGTGCTGGGAATTTCTAGAGTTACACCGGAATGAAAAACATGAGTTATTTGTTTACTATGTCATCGGGGTAGCAGATACATAATCCTACAACATGGTTAAACAAGACGCATTTTAGAATTACTTGTAGTCTGTTGCGATTCCGATGAAAAATTCGTGAAAAATAAATATATATTGCGTAAACGAGGGGTGAACGCGAAAGTCATGTTACAGCGAAATCCCAACAGACTTGCCATCGGTGTAAGCGCCCTCAAGCAAGTCTAGACGCATTTTATGACGACTCGCTTCAAGATATGTGCCCTCGCCCGGTAATCTTTCACAAATAGATCCCACCATGCCGGTATATTGACGACCTGTTAAGGCGTCATGCCACAATTACAATTTGAAGTAGCAGGATTTAAAGTGTACTGTAAAATACTTTATTTTCGCTTGGATTTAATTTTCGCTATTTTCACTGAAGGGATGATTCAGTGAAAATAAAATCCAGCGAATATATTTTTTTTTCCTATATTTCAACTCATCAAAAATTAGTGAAAATAAATTCCATACAAAACACCTAAAAAAGTATTTTCAGCGAAAATTTATTCCAGCTAAAATAAAGTATTCTACAGTAATTGGATCGGCTTCGTTTCTTTTCTTTTTTTTTCTTGTAACCAGAATATTAAGCCAAGGCGCCGGAATAAGATAAATGGAAGCAGTTCTATAGAAAAAATCAACTCTGGCAACCAAATAATTAACAAAACTAAAACCATTGGGATACTGGCACACATAATAAATTGTGTTAAATAATTGGTTCTCTACAGTAGTGGAGATCACATTAAATATGTAAGCTATTGAGAAAACACTGTATCGAAATCCCAGGGAACACTCATACACAACTTTCGGTCAATATACCTGTATTTGTCTACACAGCAAATTGAACTTGGAAATATAACTAGGACAGGAAAATTCTAACAATTTATTGTAAATGGGGTCACTGGACACATAGAGCCGGGAACAGCCACTGGTGGCGCTGTATAGTTTCATAATCTTTAGTGGCTCGCAATTCTCGGGCGGACATCCGGACATTTTCACCGCCTGGCAACCATCACGGTGAAAACAAAGGTCGAAAACTCCCAGAAAACAGTACTTTGTGATGGTTGTTGAGACTTTTCTGAACAATGTAACAAGATTACCCCTGCGTGTGCAGCGTATATACATTTGGTTGTTCGGGATTACTTCAACTTTTGTGCTGTTTTCTTGAATTTAGCTATTTTCACCGGTATGTGGTACAGTGGTAAGCGTCTTAGCAACGTGGAACGTCTTGTGGTGTAGCTCCGCCCCGAGGATAGTAGACTTATAGTATAAAGAGATGACCAGTCAAGTATGGTAGAAATCGTTGAGTTAAGGTCCAACATGTGTGATTCATAATACATGTTTCTATTAATAATCGCACTTTAAAATAATATTCATTGTGTACGCAGTGCGCATGTCTCAGGTTGTTCTCATCGATGCTATCACGGCTACATGTTGCACGTTCTATTGTGTTATTGAAGTTGACAAACGCTTACTCTCAACGACGTTGAATTGTATGCACTCGTAATACGCGTTTGTTCATGTTGCTTCAATCATGTTTAGTACCAGTTATTCGAATCAATGTCACCTATTACCCAACTCGTGATATAACTTTCGCCACAGTGCAGACTACTATGTAATGAACGTGCATTTAACTCTTACAAACATTTTATTGTGGAGGCACATGTTGTAAACTTGATTTTGTGAAGTCAGTGTTTTTTACGCAGAGACATTGGTCTATGAAAACTCGTATAGGACAGGTGAAGCCAGTTGTCCTACTTGCATGAAGTTCAACTGTAACGTTATTCGAGTCTGTACCTGGTCAACTGTTGTAATATATTTCATTACTAATAAATGGCTTAATAGCATCCACACGATTTGCTGACAATGGATGGTCCAATACCAACAATATGCTCCACCGCCTACAGGCAGCATACCCACTGCCACTTCGGTGCAATATAATGTACATTAAGGATATGCACAACAGCAATGTCAGAGTCAGCCAACACCCACGTTATATCACCAGTCAAAGCCATATTCCATCATGCTCAGGACAATATCTGCAACCACCTTTAATTTTAGTACAACAATAAGAAGCCTGTAGTGCTAAACACACGTGTTGAACCACGTAATATCTCCGTGTTTAGTGGTCAGCTCGATGGAAAGATATTCATAGAATAGTACGGTAGTAGTATTGAATGCCTGGCAGAAAATGGAGATCGGTTACTTACACTTGACCAAATCGATGATTAACGGTTGACCTGCTCAACTGGTTCGTAACCAGTCTTGTGATTGGTTCTTGAACAATTCTGAACAGGCCACTCCTCCAACTGTACTGTGCGTTCGGGCCAACCATTAATTATTTATAAATGGAGTCAATTTGTATAGTTTTCTTTATTTATCCTGCAGATATAGGTAATATATAGGTAAGGCTTGCGTGAAATTTGAAAAAAACAACTAATATTCTTCAATCTGTCATTTTTTTATAGATTTTATTTTTCATTCACGTTTGACAAATAAACTGCCAACAGACTCTGGTGTATCGGAAGTTGATTGCTCAACAGAGGTGTGAGGTACTTTGTTAAGTGAGGCACGCTGGTGACAAGAGGTGGACACGTGTTGAATTGCCTTGTCCATGTCTAGTGCAAAAATTAACAATGAATGATCGCTTCATTTGGAAGTCAGTCAGTCAGAAAGCCATCTAACAACTGGAGGCACTGCAATGCATTCGCGTGGTGAAGACAATGGGTAAATACACTTGACTACAAGTGGGTCATCTTGGAAATAGTTAACGTATTGGGGTAATGTCCTCAATGTTAATCTTTTAGATGGATACGTTCCATGAGAGAGACGGGTATGACTTACATCAGCGCATTTTGACAGGACCGTGTGTCATCGGTGACAATCCATATTTTATCTGAGCATCTGAGAAGTGGCAAGTACGATTCGATAATAACGCCGCTTTGGCAAGACAAAAACAATCGCAAAGATCATCTGACCATTGAGTTTTATCTTGGAATTCTAGTCCAATTGTTTGTCTTCCTGTGGGCAACAAAAGATGCAAACCTTGGTAGGACTCATGCTAAGACGTTATATGCACCTATAAAAGTATTCGCACCATACTACAGATCGTCTGCCAGTTCGGCGATGTTACCATCCTCAAGAAGATCAACGAGTATGCAACACACTATCTCTTCCAAGCTGTCTAAGACCCTGGCATTCCCGTGGCTGAACGCACTGTCATGAATTTGTTTTTGCGTATCTGTTGACCGACTTAATTAGCTGATTATTAGCGAATTGCTGTGTTATGTCTGTCATCGTTCAGGCCTATTTGAAGTTTTGGACGGAACTTGGCTCAGTGATTTGGAACTAATTACGAAATAACCGTAGCTATTCGGATTAATTCTGACAGTTGGTATTCGTAGTTATTAATGTAGTGAACAATTAATCAAAAGATATGACGTATTCAGTGCTTAGTGTGATTGGCTTTATGATTGAAGGTTACGCCCTAGAGTCTTTTACTGTTTTGTAATTGGTTAGAGTTTTGAAAATGAATAAAGAGAGTTTTGAGTTGGTCTTGAAGAGTACTCCACGATAGACGCAGTCGGAGTCTAGAGCAATCCTGGAGAGCCTTGGGGCGAGTGTTGACGCAGTCTAAGAGAGTCTTGGGCCAGCTTTGCGATAGTTTTGCGGATATTTCCCCAGGGCGCTGTGTCTTATAGAGTGCTCCACAGACCGACTAAGACGAGAGTTGAAATGTATTTCGTTGTGTGTGTCTTATTTGACTGTGAAGCTTAAGTGACTTTCCCGATCCCATACCTCAAGGGGACGAGATATAGAGACGAGACGAGATTCCCCTGACAAGTGTGGAGAACCCCTCAGAGAGAATTACTCCCTGATACGACATAGACTTAGACACAGTTGAATGGGGTTGCTATACCACAATATTACTGTGACCTGTGCAAAAAGGGAATCTGGTAGAAATTTGGCGAAATGTGCTGTCCATGTCTGCATGAGGGCAGGTTGTGGCTTGCTGTAGCGGCCAACGTCTGTAAAGGCGGTGGCGAGGCAGAATTCACCATCTGGCTTTTTACTTAGAATGAAGGGTTTACATATTCCATGTTTACATGAACATTTTCTGGGTGAGCAAAAACGCTGAGCCCTTCAAGTTTATCACACTTTTGCTGCAACTCTGTTAACTTGTCGTGCAAGTACTGAGGGATACGGCCCTTGTGCTGTGGTGGTTGAACGGGACCCATGTTGACAACTGTTTGAAATGGATCAGAAACGCCCTTGTATCTTTTGATTACAGTGTTAAAAGCATCATCATAGTCATGGTGAAATGTAGCAAGGTTTGTCACCGGGTTAATTTTAACCAAATTTAAATAGTTTTTTTCTGAAAGAGCTGACTTTCGCCGCGATATTACCTGAGATGTAGTGACATGAAACATGTTCATTGCATTTCTAAGATTGTGGCATGCCAGACTGGTTGAAATCCGGATTTTACCAGATATA